GGGGGGGGGGGGGGAACAGGGTCACAGAGGACTGTAAATGACGTATGCCAGAGTTGGCTTCATACAGGGCAGTGCCAGTATGTCGCCTCTAATGAATCCCTTGAAGTCTTTTGAAGTTTGGCTCGAGAATCGTGATTTAATTAGGGCGATTGCTGGAATCTTGACAGTGATCACATTTCAGGTTCTTGGCAGCTAGCTTGCATTTATGACCCAGTTGCAGTATCCTGCGGACTGTTGACCAGGATTGGCAACTCTTTTGCTGATTCCCAACACCTTTTTGCTGATTTCTGGCAAACAAACAAACCAACCGCTGCCCGTTCAGGGAAATGGATTTGGATTTACCACCAAGGGATTCACTCAACAAAGATACAGATTTAAAACCGTGGAAATCAACGAACAGCCACGCGGTTCCGATGACAACTGCCTGATTCGCTTATGATTTGCTATAAAAATGGTCGTCCCCCCCCCCAAAAAAAAATTCCAGGTCTGGTCATGTGGTGCCTCGATTTATGACCAGATTTCTGATCCAGTTGCGGTCATAAGTCGAGAACAGCCTATAAGCATTGCTATCCCACTTTTCTTTGCTTTTTCTGACCTGTTCACCTAACCTGGATCTAATGTCAGTGTTCCAAGTAATGCACCCAAAGAAAACAGAACTCCAAGGCAGGTAGATTCCTCAAGGAACGATTTATTGGATACTTCACATTTGCACAACCGGGAAAAACTGCCTCTGAAGGTTCCCACTGTTTCCCCCTAATTAAAGTAAAAGTTCCCCCTTTCCCCAAGTCCATCAGTCACCTTGTCCAATCAAGGTGCTGGCCGGTTGCTTGGTTATTTGGCTCCTCCTTTCCCCAGCCACCTGTTGGGATGACCTTGGTTCCCAAAGGAAAACTATTTGTTTTGACCACAAAACCCCAGCTCACTATTTTTCCTCTCCCTGTCCCTTCTTCTCCCTCACGGCAACGCTGAAGCCTCCAAGATGGCCGAGGACAGGTTCTGTTCAGAGTGGACATCTGGAGACCTTCCAGCAGAGACGTGTTCTCTGAATTTAGCTCTTTTTCTTCCAGATCTCCAGAAATTTAAACATGCCTGTCTTCTCCTCCAGTCTTAGGCCTACCGAACTGTGTGGAGGAGATGTGTCCAGATATTCCAGTCCTGGAGAAGCTGATGAAGGATATCAACGGGCTGGCGGAGTCAGGGGCTCGCTATACCGAAATGCCCCACGTAATTGAGGTCACCCTGCCGATGCTTTGCAACTACCTGCCCCGTTGGTGGGAGAGAGGCTCGGAGACCAATGCACAGGGTCCCTGGTGCACTGAAGTGACCTCGGACCAGCTCAACACCTTGCTGGGAAACATCCTGAAGATCATCGTCAACAACCTGGGCATAGATGAAGCATCTTGGATGAAGCGGTTGGCAGGTATGAAGGGTGCTGGGATTGAGGCCCTTTCTTTACAAGCGAGCTGAAATTTTGCTCCAGAGAGAAATTCCATAATAAGATATAAAACTAAGCAAAGGTCATAAGGACCCCCCTGAGCTGCCTTGTTGTGGTTTGCCGGCAGCAGGTGTGGATGTGGGGTGCAGCCTTCAGAGCTTTTGGAGTCTGGCAGCAGTGAAGCAGAGGACCCCGGGGAGCCTGTGCCCAGTGCGCATGTGCGTAGGGCTGCTCAAAGGAGAGAGCAGCCGAAGCAGCAAGGGCGACACGGGAAGGCTGGAAGGTGATGGCCCCTCCCATAAGGGATAAAAGCCAGCCTTCGGGGATGTGCTCTTTGCAGGAAGCAAAAAAGTTCTTTAGACTCGGAGTCCAGCGAACTCCGGTTTGTTTTTGAAACGTCTGTCAGTGGATATTCATCAGTAATTAGACTTCTGTTCTTGTTTACCTCGCTGCACATGTGCACGCCTCACAGCTGATTTTTTTTGCCAATTTGAGGCCTTTTTCGGCCTCCCAAAGGCTTGAGGAAGGCTTCTGCAGGCTTCTACAAGCTTTGTAGGCCGAAATCTAGCCCCGTTTTGTCACTACTATTGTCGGAAAAACAGGAAGTGACGAAACGAGGCTAGATTTCGGCCTACAAAGCTTGTAGAAGCCT